ATAGATAGATAGATAGATAGATAGATAGACAGATAGATGTAGATAGATAGCTGTAGATATACGCAGAGGGTGCCTAAAAAGTATACACATTTTCAGAAAGTAAAAACTGTATTAGAATTGTAATACTCAATATATACCGATAACAAAGGATGAATACAAGTCACATTTGGCTTCTGCAATTACAGGAGGTGCTCAAAGTGGCTACCATCAGCGTCCAGACAGTTCTAATCACAGTGAATTAAAAATAATAGATAACATCACTTAAAATGTGGATACATTTTTTGGCATCCCTGATACACCCCCCACCACACACACACACACACACACACACACACACACACACACACACACACACGTCTCCCTCACACTATGTGCTATAGATAACATTTGCATTATCCACTGATCAGCTGATTGGCATTTCAATTGCTAACACATCTTTGCAAATGTGAATTGTGCAGCAATGAACATGCGAGTGCAGGTTCCCTAGTAATGGGATTGCAGGATCAAATGGTAGTTCTACTTTTAATTCTTTGAGTAATCTCCATACTGCTTTCCATAAAGGTTGTACTAATTTACACTCCCACCAACCGTATGTAAGTGTTCCCTTTCCTCCGCATTCGCACCAGCATCTGTTTTTTTTTTTTTTTTTTTTTTTTTGTTAATACTGGATATTCTGACTGGTGTAAGATGGTATCTCATTGTAGTTTTAATTTGCATTTCCCTGATGATTAATGACGTTGAGTATTTTTCCAGATGTTTGTTGACCGTTTGTGTATCTCCCTTTGAGAGATGTCTGTTCGTATTGTTTGCCCACTTTTTCATGGGGCTATTTTTTTTTCTTGCTGATTTGAGTTTTTTGTAGATTCTGGATATTAGTCCTTTGTCAGATGTACAGTTTTCAAATATCTTCTCCCATTCTGTAAATTGCCTATTTACTCTTGATTATTTCTTTTGCTGTGCAGAAGTTTTTTAGTTTAATTAAGTCCCACTTATTTATTTTTGTTTTTGTTGTTTGCTTTTGGGGTTTTAGCCATAAATTATTTGCCTAGGTCGATGTCCAGAAGAGTGTTTCCAAGCTTTTCTTCTAGGATTGTTACGGTTTCAGGTGAAGCATCCTCTTTCAACGTATATTCTCTTATAATTAATTTTCCTCCTTACATGGACGTTAGTAGGAGGGAACAACTCAATTCTCTCCACGTTATGCAGAGGAGCCATCTGAGATCTGGCAATATCCAGTTGCTTCCTGGGTATCTGAGCCAGGATGGCCTGAAAACATCTCTAGCTCTTTATACTTAAACAGACATCATTATCAATCCCACCCCAATCCTGCTCCTCTTTCTGCATTTCTTGCCTCAAAACTGGCCCTCTGGTCACCCACCTGTTCCCTCTACCTCAGCCCCCATAGCCCATCAGTCAGAAAGTCCTGTGCCTTCTGAGGGTCTCAGACACCACTCAGATCCCCACTGGCCACCCCAGTTCAGTCCCATTGCATCTGCTCTGGTCTCACCTGAAACCTGGATTCTTGTGCAGCCTCTGACTGTTTTCTTGCTGTGGTCGAATCCTCCCCACCCAACTCCATCTTTCTCATCCCCCCCCCCACCAAGTCACGGATCCTGTAGCTCCAGTGTTTAAACCCTCCGTGACCCCACTCCACACCTGCCTGGAGGCAGCCTCACCCCATGCCCTACCTTCTGACTCAACCCTCACCTACTCTTGGGCATCCTTGTCTGGCCTTCCTTCCCAGCTCCCACCGGGCCACATGGCTTGTTTGCTCCAGTACATGACCCAGTGTCAGTCACTCGACAGCACTTCCTGCCGTGTGCCTCTCACTCTGACTTTTTCCTGTCCCAACCACAGGGTACCTTCCTGCTCTGGCTGGCCCTATTCCCTCTGTGTGGGTCCTTCTCACCCAGATATATGCATGACAGATTTGCTTCCCTTCATCAAGACTCTCACATATCACCATCTCAGTGAGGTCAACTCTGATCACACTCTTCAAGCTGCACGCTGGCCCTGCCCTAGCCCTCCCTCAGTTGTTTTTCAGTCACCTTGACCAGGCAATATGTCTTATGATGTTCATATCCAATGCCTGCACCCCACAATCCCATCCTCACCTCTACCTCTGGAATATAAGCTCCAGGGGGCGATGATGTGTGTCTCATCAAGTTCATCAATATAGTCCAAGCACCTGAAACAGTGCTTGGCTAATAGTAGGTGGGCCTAATAAGCTTTTTTGTTGAATAAATTGAATGCATACATGTGGATGTTATCTCACACTTTTAACGTGTTCTTCCCTGCTTGAAACAACCCGATTCATCCTGTTCATCATCATCTACAATCACACAGACACTATTTCTCCCAACATTTCTTGTTTACTGTGAACAAGAGGGAGAGGGCAGGGCATGGAGGGCTCTTGTGGAACAAAAGGCCATGTTCTAAGGGCAACTGCTTGATCCACTGACTTAATTCCAACCAGGAAAAGTATCAGGAAAGACAGTCAGTTAGTTACTCAAACACTTGGCTGAGATGCATACAGATGGCACATACATAGCCCCAAGGTCAACAATAAGGTTCTGGGGAAGGCAGAGGGTGATTCCAAATGCTTTACCTCTGGGACTTGCCAGACTCCCAAGACGTGGGCAGAAGTCCATCTACACCGAGTGATCTGTCCATATGTTGGTTGACTGGAAATCGTGGACGGTCTCTGATCTGAAACCCTGTCATGTGTCTCTGTCACTAGCGAACTCTGGGGCAAAATCCATTAAGTTTTATAGTTGGGAGGAGCTTTAGAAATTTCTCTAACCTCCCCCCCATTTGACCGATGAAGCTTCTCAAACACAGATAGATGTCGGAATTCAATTTCTCAGCTTCATGAGGACAGGAAGTATGAGCACAGAAGACAGACTCTGAGCCTTCCAGGGCAGAGCTGAGACTGCACCCCTGCTCGCCTATTCCCATGAGCACACCTGCGTGTGTCATAGCATGTGCTCCTATACAGCACTGGGCAAAAGACTGTCACCTTATGGCTCAGAAAATAACGCTCGGGAAAAATAAAATGTTCAGAGAATCTGGTATGGCTTTTGCATGCATACTAAGCTACAAAGACTGGGGAAGGAGAGAGAGACACACCCACTCCTTCTCTTTTCCATCTTTTTTAGCTTTTCTGGAAACACGTGTTTTGAGGGTAAAACCATGAGCATTTGGAGGTCCCCCTTAAGCTATTGGTCAAGGTACCACCAGGAGGATGAACAGAGTGTCAGGAGGGGCAAAGGAACATGTACGTGGGACCTGAGTTAGAGTCTAGCAGTGTTAGGGAATTAGAGCCTGGAATGTCTCCGAATGGAACAGCCTAAGAGTGCTCTCTGAGAAACACAACTAAATAGATGAGGTCCCTGCAGCTTCATGGGGAAGGGGTGGGAGAGTTTAAGTGTGAAACGCTGGGAAGAATGGGAGTAGGGCAGAGGTCTGTGACAGCAAGTATCTGGGCCCCAGGAAGACAAGCCTGTGACCGAGACTTGAAGCCCATTCTACCTGCCTCCTTGGAAGCCTGCCTCCACCCCCAAGGAGGAGAGTTTCTAGAGCTTTCCCCTGGGGTCAGACACCACCAGCCTGGAGAAAACAAAGCAGGCGGGGAAGAAGTGGTCAGACCCTGGGGGATCCCTCTGTGTGTCAGGAAGGTAAAATCCGGAATGAACTCAGGGAGCCCCACCTTCAAGGACAACGGAAGGGAACAGGGACCCTTTGTGTGGGGCATGACTCTGTGGACACTGAAGGTAGGAACAGTCCAACCATGCTGCCAGTAGGCAGAGGTCTCCCATTCTCCTTCCTGATTCCTCCTTCCTTGTGTCGTGCTTAGCTAGGCAAACATCCGGATCCCGAAAGAACATTAAATATTAGCTGATGGAGTCTTAGAATCCTGGAGCAGCTTGGCCATGTTTACAAAGGGGCCTGAACAACGCTTGACTCTGCAAGCTTGTGAGTTTAGGACTCCTCCGTTCAAGGCAGACAACCAGAATTCCTAAGCCATTCCTGAGCTAAGCAGTAAAACTCACCGGATACTCAGTGTCAGTAGTAATGTGGGTCTGTTTTCTCATATTATTGGCCCTTCTTTTTGGCATAGACAATATTAGAGATAAGATGTGTTTGTAGTTAAGGAAAGGTTTTTCTTCCCACTCGCACAGTGAAGAGAAGTGTGTTAACAGAGCCTGCTCAGGTAAAGAGCTCACTGCATACTGCGTATCCTGGGGGCACCTTTCAAGGCTGATTTGTTACCTACATCATGCACCTGGGGCTTTAAAACAAATAAAAACAAATGCTGCCTCCCCCTATTTTGCTTTAAGCAGAGAAGACTGTGCACTGAATACCTGGACTGTCAGTCCAGAGTCCGAGGAGAGACTGGAACCCCAGAGTGAGCAGGTTTGAGTCATACGCAGGTGGCCTGCATGTCGCTGGTCCCCATCGTCCTGTCCATCTCCTGAAGAGGGTGACTGAGCAACAGCACGTGTGGCTCCCATATTTTCTGTATTACTCTTTCTCATTAGAGGCACAGTGCAAGGCAATTATGAGACTTCTAGTCATGCGTGTATGTGTGTGATTATTGTTTACATGGGCTAGCGTATTGTTTTTTGTGTACTTGTCTATCCCCAGAGTGTTAGAGTAATAGCTACTTGACAAGTAACCCCGTATATCTAGTCTCTTCAAAATCTAAGCAGATAGCAGAAGGTTTGCACAGAGCAGGAAATGGATGAATTGCATTAAAAAAAATGAATGAACAAATAAACTTTTGTCTCTGATTAAACCATCTTGAGGCCCTGCATCCTGCCAATAGATCCTGGACAACTGTGCTCTGTGTTGGCAGGTTTGATGTGGGAGCTGGTCTGTTTAGACAATGGATACACACACTCAACTATAAGCAGAATTACCTTAGTTCTGTGTAGTTTGAGTTCTAACCACTCGCCATGCGTTACAACAGTCTATTCTTTTCTTTCTGATTCCTCTAGGATAGGACGTTATTCCACCCCGTGAGCAACAGCTGCATGGATTGCAGCCCCGCAGAGAAGAAGATCTTCATGGCTAGATGTGACCCTCTCTCAGAGACTCAGCAGTGGGTTTTTGAACACATTAATGTGACAGTTTTAGAAAAATTTAACCACCATGCCAGCTCCTAGAAAGAAAGAAGGAAGGAAGTGAGAGTGATCATAAACCGAGTTCTAGCCAGTATCTGGGTCGAAGGAGTCAGGAATAATATTTCCTAGATCCAGGAAGGCTGGTTTAAAGATCTGTAAAGGCCATGTCAAAGTAGGTTGTCTCGAAGAACTTCCTGCATCTGAAGAACTTGGCTGAGAACCTCACCAGCTGCTTCTGAGAACTCGAGACTAGCAGTTCCCTTGCTGGCCAAGGGCAAAGATTATTTAGGGACTTTTCAAAGCAACTGCTGTGTTAATAAATCCTAGCATTTCTCAGGTCAAACCCTGCAGTAGTGAGTAGCTGTGAATGGATCCTATTAACAGGGCGGGAGGGGGGGCAGAGGTGGAGTGCATGACTGCTGGGACAACCTGAGGACCCCGCAGGTGTAGAACTAGCCACGCTCAAGGGAGGAGTTGTACTCTCCGTTGCCATTCTCTGACTAGGAATGGGTTAAGCAGGTTTAACCCTTCAACGTGCTGCAGATGATTCTAGAGTGCTCTCACCATGCTGTTTTCTTTTGCTTTCTTTTTAAACGAGGGTGCAATATCTCACGTAAGACGTAAATTACATCATGAAATGGACTTCCAGTGTTCCCATTCTTTCATTCACATCTGCCATTTTCCTTGTAGAGCAGAGGTTACCTTTTATTCATGAAAGTTTATGCTCCTTAAATCAACTGAATGTCTAATTCAGAGCCCTTCTATGAATCCAACTAAAAATAAAAACAAGAAACTATGCCACCAAGTTACTCCAAAGACAGATTTTGCAGAAGCAGCAAAACCATACAAAAGTTAGGAGGGAAATTTCTCTGGGGAATCTGTTTTTACTTTTCTATTATTTTTAGGACATTTGAAGTCTGATGTTTGTCCAGTCATACTTTTTATTAAGGAATGAGATGGAGTGAGGTTGATGTCATTTGTTTAGGAGATTCTTAAACCCAAATAAATCTACACTCCAATGGACGCGTGAAATAATCTGGTTCACTTCAATTCTGTTCACTTCAATTCTGTTTAGGTGCTGGGAACTTAGAAGTGATTTTACTTTGTTTGTTTGGTTTTTTTTCATGTTTTTTGTTTTGTTTTTTAAATTTTGTATTGTTGATATGAATGATGATGTTTTATTTGAAAGCCCATAAAAGGAATTACCATCAATAAAGTGATTCTGACACCATTTTCTGTTAATGGGACAATATTTCATGGGTGAAGAAAGGAATATTTCAAAAACTGAATGGAGCATTTAATCTTCCTAACACTGTTTTACTTTTCAATGATGATGGGTGAGGGGAAAAAGACAGAATCATGTTCATTATACAAGTCTCACTTTTTTCAGGTACAAAAATGTTTCTACTTTGCTTTTGTTGTTTTTCTCTTAACTTGGTTTTCCTGTTAATAAAAATTTATACAACATCTTTGATACAGAGCATTGAGTTTAAGAACTGAGAAGACTCATTGAATCCAATCCCTTGTTTTTCAGATGAATAACAAAAAATCCAGAGAGGCCCAGCTCCAGGCAGGGCTGACATGTTCTGGCCTTTGGTGCTGTGTTTTTCTCCCATGCTGGATGACACTCTGGTGTCCAAGCTGGTTCTGGGTATTGTTCTGAATTAACTTGAAATTTCCAGCCACTAGATGAGAAGGCTGTGCTCCCTGGGAGTGCCTGCAAGAGTAACATTCAGGTCCAGACACCGTAACACAGTGTGTGAAACCTCTTCTTATAAATGTTCTTGATGCTGTTGTCTCCTTGAAATCTAATCAAAATGTCCAGCTAAACTACCCCGCTAATCACTGGGTAAGAGTTATTTTGTGATCTTCTCTGGGTTTTCAAGCATACTTTTGAAGAGCTTTTTTTTTCACCTGTCACAGAGGTGTTTTGTGTAAGTCAAGAGATCTTGAAGCATTCAAGATGCAGAATGGAGAAAATCAATAGTGAGAAATTAACCTGTGTGTTGGACAATTCAAGACAGCGAGTGAAGATTCATCTCCAGTGCCCAGAGAGCGATCTGGTTGTAGAATTAGATGAGCCCATAAAAATTCACATTATGTCATTAAACAGTTGACTGCTACTTACAATTCTACCAAAGGGACAACCCTGAGTTCTGCACCCTGGAAAGCCCAGATTTGCAAGGTAGTCTGTCGTACATGCTTGGCACTATCCTTTGAGAAACCGAATATATTGCATCATATTAATGTGACACACAGAGATCAACCAGGATTGCTCTCCGGATTGCTTAATAAAAGAATATAGTAAAAGAAATTAAAATTTAAACACTTGCCACCACAGTGGTTCATGCTTATGATCCCAGCACTTTGGGAGGCCAAGGTAAGAAGATTGCTTGAGATCAGGAGTTCAAGACCAGCGGGGGCAACATTATGAAACCACACCTCTTCAAAAAAAATTTTTTTTAATTAATTGAGCATGGTGGTGTTCACCTGTAGTCCCAGATACTTGAGAGGCTGAGGCAGGAAAATTGCCCGAGTCCAGGAGGTTGAGGCTGCGGTGAGCTGTGATCATACCACTGCACTCCAGCCTGGGCAACAGAGTGAGATCCCGACTCAAAGAAAAACAACTTGATTTTTAAAACGTTAAGGAGAACTCAAGACATTAAGGCCAAAACTGAAACATCAAACAGTCAAACAATTGCTTCCTGTGTGCAGATGGGGAATGAAAAAGAATAAAAGGAGACCCAGAGAGTCTGCCCTTAAGCCAAAGGCATCACACTGCTCAAACTCACACCCACGTAGAAGGAGAAGGTAGCTCAGGTACTGCTGAAGGCTGAAAGTCTACTCACTTGAAATACCTCCACTACCATGCTGAAAAGCACAAAACTGTGTATGTTTGCGTTGTTTGTTTTGCCCGAGGGAACTGAACCATCCTCAGATAGATGTGCTTTCCTGGAAATAACATGATTTGAAATTCGGACAGCAGAGCACTATCCACCCTTTTATCAGAATGAGAAGAAAATCAACAAACTAACCTGGCCTCAGAAACTGCTGCTTCTTCATAATAAGGCATGGCTTTGCCAGACATTATAAAATAATCAATTTTTGAAGTCCTCTGTATGTATTTACAGAGAAAAGTCTGTGCTTTAAAGCAATTGTGGACTAAATGTGGGACTTGCATGTCTTCCGAGGCTGGATGAACACCATAGCAATAACAGTGTACTTGCTGGCTTCCTGGTCTACTTTTCCGTCATTTAAAATATTAGTATCATCACATGACTATTTTCAGTTGTGTCCCCTATATCAGAAGCCTCTGTGAATAATGTGAGTCCCAGGATTATTTCATGAATCAGTAACAAAGAACTTCATACAATAAATGAAAAACACATAATGAAGATATCTTTGCAATCAGTGAGAGAGAGTGTTAGGCTCATCTTTCCATGTTTCTTGAAAAACATGAAACCAATGCCAACTCTTGACAACATTTCCTATAGGGGCAATGATATATTTTAAGAGAATATAACAGCCAAATATAAGGAAGTAAATATCTATTTTATGCTTCTTGCTGTGACGTGAAAAACTTCTATGTCAACTTTTTATAACTATCTCCATAAGGAAACAACAAAAAGGAACATTTTCTTGGAAAGATCCATGCTATAAAACTTATGGCAGACCCATCCAAAGACCCTCTAATGCTGATTACAGCAGGCCAGCAGTCATGGACAGTCACACCTGCCACTGTGCAACATTCCTGGACCAGGATATCATACACCTGAGAACTCAGAAGAGAGTTGGCAACAAGGCTATGTAGATCTGTCCTTGACCTCCCGTCTTGTTTTGGAATATTTCCCAGGGGTAGGCAGACCCCTGACCCATCCCTGGCAGAGAGTGCTAGCTTGTATTTTTTCAGACTTTAGAATCATCCCAATAATATGATATTGTGAATATTGATTTATCACTAAAAACTGATTTAGTAGAATCTCTTTAGGCCTTTTGCCCTCACATGAACACAAGACCATGATCTGCTTCCGCACATGGGTGCTAGAGATATGAGAAATAAGACATTTTGTATAAATAAGAAGGAAAGCTTCAAAGGAGGTATACCTATTAGTTAGGGTCTCACTCTGTTGTCCAGGCTGGAATGCAGTGGCATTATCACAGCTCACCATAGCCTACAACTCTTGGGCTCAAGTGATCCTCTTTTGTCAATCTCCCGAATACAAGGTACTACAGGCACACGCCATCATGCCAGCCTGATTTTTTTCCTCTTTGTCTTGCTGTGTTGCCAGGCTGGTCTTGAACTCCTGGACTCAGCGATCCTCCTGCCTCCACCTCCCAAAGTGCTGGAATTACAGATGTGAGCCATCACGCCCGGTTGGGAAAATTTATTTATTTATTTATTTATTTTTGAATTGACATCTCATGTTGTCACCCAGGCTGGAGTGCAATGGCATGTTCACAGCCACCACAACCTCACCCTGCTGAGCTTAGGCTATCCTTCCACCTCAGCCTTCCAAGAATCTGGAACTACAGACGCATGCCACCACGCCTGGCTAAATTTTTTGTGATTTATTGTAGAGACGAGATCTCACCAAGTTGCCCAGGCTGGTCTGGAACCCCCAGGCTCAGGCACTCCTTTCGCCTCAGCCTCCCAAAGTGCTGGGATTACTGGCTGAGCCACCACGCCCAACCTAGGGAAAATATTTTTAAGCGACTCCCTACAATCCTGGGAATATGTATCAATGGCAAGAGGTATATGCTGCCTCTCAATGGAGGGTGGCATCCCCGTCCCCCTCCACCCCATAACGAGCCCTGCCCTTCCATGATTCCTCTCTGATGACATCACTGCCGCCATCGCTTGCCACATGCAGAGCTGTGGCCAAAGACACAGAAACGTGACAGCAGCCAGTCCTCCCCACACACCAGCATTGGGAGATTGCTCTCTGATTTATTAATATGTCTGTGACCTCTGCTCACAGCTCTGGGATACTATTTGCAACTCTACCTGCTAGACTTGACATTGGCCAGAAGCTTTTATTCACAGCCCCTGTCTCCACACTTGACAGACCCACCCAGTGTGTCAGGTGCTATGGCCTCTCTACAGTTCACAGCTCAGGCACATGCCTCACACACTGCAGAGGATCTTTGATGCATTTCTTCCCTTCCCGCTGCCTGAAGTCGCCCCTTCAGCTCATTGCATAATAGCTACCGGGGCTTCCACCAGCCTCTACCTCCACCTCTGCTCAGTCCAATGAGCAACCCGACTGGCCTCAGCACAGAAAGGCAGGTTCCACTGCAGAACCTTTTTTTTTCTTTTTCAAATAGGACTTTTTATTTGTCACTCTTAAAAGCCTGGATGTTAAACAGATTCCTGGACTGGTGGTTCATATCCATCAGCTCGTTCAACTTTAGCACCTGTCTCATCCCCAGTAGTTTTTCCAGAGCTACTACCTTCACCATGCAGCTCCATAAGTTTTCCTAATTCAAACTTGGGCTTCTTCAGCATTTTTACTTTCCTAACAAAGACGTCATGAAGAGGACACATAGATTGGCAGGGTTTTTCTATGTCTTTTCCAAGGCAGTCTGGAATCAATTTATTGACCACTTCTTTTAAGTCATTTGTCTGCACTTCCTGGGTCATGATTTCCATCATCTTCTCCCGGATCTGGTGGACCTGTTGGTGCTGAGCGCAAGAGGTCTTCTGTATCTGTTGCGTTTTTTGGTAAAACCAACACAGAACGGACGAAGCAAGCAACCATCAGTAGTCTTGGCATCAGTATGAGCTTCAGTCATGGTCTGCCATTTTTTGACCATGGAGCACATATTTGTCCCGGGTCAGGTCCATGCCACGGAAGTTAGTCAGACAGTTTTTGCCTCGAGCATCTTCAGTGATCAGCTTGAGTTTCCCAAATGCAACTTCATCATTCTGCAGATCGGCAAGACTCACTTCAAACACACGACCCTTGAGGCCATCGGATGCAATTTTGGTTCCTTGCGTCCTGGTGACCAGCGTTTTGCCAATATTTCTTACATCGAACATAGCAGGTGCTTTCACATCATACCAATCTTTCTTAGAAAATGAATCAATCACTTTCTTCTTGGCTCCCTTTTTGCCGCCTTTTGTAAGGCGCTTGTTCTTGCCTACCACCGTGGTGCCGCTCAGAGAGCTAAAAGGGGTACTGCAGAATCTTATTACTGACTGTCTTCTGACATACTCACCTTGAGGGGATATTCATCACTGATTAGCACAGATACTGTATACCTGTTGTTCAGTGTGATTATTCATAGTGACCCATTTTCCTCTTCAAAGTGTCCTACTTTGGCCAGGTACAGTGGCTCACACCTGTCATTCCAGCCCTTTGGGAGGCCACAGCAGAAGGATCACTTGAGCTCAGGAGTTTGAGAGTGACCTGGACAACATAGCGAGACCTCATCTCTACAAAAAATAAGAAATAAAAAAATTAGCCAGGCGTGGTGGCATGCACCTGTAGTCCCAGCTACACAGAAGAGTGAAGTGGGAAGAATGTCTGAGCCCAGAAGGTTGAGTCTGCAGTGAGCCATGATCGTGCCGTTGCACTCCCACCTAGGTGACAGAGTGAGACCCCCGACTCAGAAAAAAAGTATCCTAGATTGGATAGCAAATTATATGGTTGCCCTATTTATAATCTACCTGACTGTCTGCTTTATAATTCCTCTAGGGAAAAGTAAAATGACTCACTTATCAATGCCTGTAGTCTACAAGAAACCAGGTAGACTTATTACTACCCTTCAAACGGGACCAGTCTAAAACTAGCTTATTGATGACAGTCTATTGCATTCCCGTGGTTCTTTACAAGTTGCTTAATAGAAGCTTTTTGATCAAAGGTTCTTATATATACCTCAATCATTTTGCTGAATTAAGACTTTTTTTTGAGACAGATCTCACTCTGTCACTCAGGCTGGAGTGCAGAGGCACAATCACAGCCCTGTGCAGCCTCAAACTCCTGGGCACAAGGGATCCTCCCATCTCAACCTCCCAGTAACTGGGACTACAGGCATGCACCACCATGCCCAGCAGATAATTTTAACGTGAATGCTTTTTTCGTAATTTTAAAAATGTATTTGGAATAAAATAAGTCATTTTATACTTTTCCAAACTCAAAACAGTAGATCCTCAACATGAATCTACTGCTTTGGATTAACCTCTGTATTAGCACATTTTCAATATTATGGTAAGAAATAGATTAAATAGCTAGATAGATGATAGATAGATAGACAGATAGATAGAAAGAAATAAGCATTCGGTTTGTATTACTACTTTTGTTTTCAAAGTAATTTTATATTTATTATCTCATTCCACCCTTCTGACTACTGTGGTAGAGTTACTTCAAAACAGCACAAATCACTCATTCTTCAGGGTCTTTTGCTTTATCGTCTTCATTATGTTGGTTCTTCTCTGTACATATGTTTTGGTGAGTTTTCCCACAAGCTCATTACAGTAAGAACTCCAAACTGAATCCAGGATTAGTCCTTCTTAATGAGATTTCCAGGGTACTTTTAAGAAAAGAAGTGACCAGCTAAAACTATTTGCAAACTCCAGAGGATACATCCAAAAGTGAATACTGTGCATTTGGTCATTACGAATGGGTTCCATCCTCAGAGGAAAAAAATCAGTCATTAAGCAAAGAACGTGTGCTTACTTTGCAGTCAGGCACCAAACTGGCTTTCTTTCCATATTCTTATTTCTGAAAATTCTGTTGGGTGCCTCTTCTAGCCATTTGAGATTTCCTGTCTGCACTGATGTGTGTTCTCTCTGGCAGTGTTTATCTTCTGGGGGTGCTGGTTAGACAGGTAGATAATTAGGCATCTTTGTCTGTCTGGGCTGCTATAGCAAAATGCCATCAATTGGGCAGCTTACAAATAACTGAAATGTATTTCTCACAGTTCTGGAGACTGGGAAGTCCAAGATCAAGGAGCAGGCAGGTTCAGTAACTGGTGAAGGGCCATTTTCTGGTGTAGAGATAACATCTTGTCCTCACATGAGAAAGGACAAGAGAGCTCTGTTATGAGGGCACAAATCCCAGTTATGAAGGCTCTGCCCTCGTGATCTAGTCACCTGACACTGTGGGGGTTAGAATTGCAACATGTGCATTTTGGGGGTGGAAACACAAACATTCAGACTGTAGCACTAGGTCCTACCTAAATCTACTAAGTCAGAATTTCTGGGTAAGACAACTAGAAACAGATCATTCTACAATTGAAAAGATATTCAATTACTTTGTGTCCCAGTTCTTAATTTTTTGCCATTGGCTCAGACCAATCATCTCATCATTTTAAAGATGTCTTCATAAAGATAATTAATGTTGAATGTGTTTAGAAACCACTGATTATATTTAGAAGGCATCTATTGGAAACGATAAAACACCAATCCACTTAAAATTCAACTGAATGCTAAATAAACTCAATAAATATTTAAAGCTGGAAGAAAGTTCCTCCCATTAAGCCCTTTAAAGTAGAATCATAGAACTGGAAGTCTGAGAATCAGTGGCATTATAGTATCATAGTAAATATCCTTTTCATCACTTAAATTTCTCGATTAAAGTGTAATGAATAGGTCAAGATCCCTACCTTAAGTTCCTGGTACAGTATTAAGCATCACATTAATAATTTAATTATTATTGTCTCTTCCTCTGAATGGTTAGTGAACAGCAAGCTACTGTAGAATAGTATTAAAAATCAAAAGAAGGTATAGCATGGTTAGATAGTTTACTCAACACTGTTTTTCAGTATATCAATCCTTCTACCCCAAACCATGCTTTTGGATGGTTCCTTCCATCTCTGTGGCAAGTTTAACCATAAGTCTTTTAAGTGCAACTATGTTTCACTAGGTTCAATAAAGTTCAGTAACTTTGTTAGAAATAGTTACAGAAGGCAAAGAAAAGTTTAGAATTTCTGCAATGTTGGGACTGTGGTTCTTTCAGATTTTTAACTTTCTTTTCATTGAAAGTAAATACTAAGATCTCCTTAAATGTTGTTTCTACTTCATCCACTGTCTTCAGAAATAAAAGTTAGTTGAAGATTTTTTTACCTTTTCTCATTTTCAGTTTACTTAAACATCAGTCTTTAATGGCACATGGAGTATGTCATCCATATTTTTTTCCAAATATTTTTCTGTTATTTTTGTGTATACAAAGGATGCATGCAAGAGAATGTATGAGAAAGGGTGTTTCACTTTACTGATGTTTACTATTCAAATTTCTATCATCCAGCACTTTTTTTTTTTTTTTTTTTGCTATGGAATTTATAGTGTGGTATGTGCCAATAATCCAAGGCACATACTCAGATTTTATGGTGAAAAAAAATACAGTAGATGAAAAAAAAAATTCTATTAGGGTCAAAATCTAGACAGCGCATCTCAAATCAAAAGAATAAATTTCTGTGATCAGGACCTTCAATTCTTGCTAAAGGTAATAAGAACCAAGAACACTGAGGTCTTGTTCAATACTCCCCGTACTGGTGAAAAAGGGATTAAGGGAGGTAAGGCAGGACTGGGAGAGAGAAAGAGCCATGCTTTATTGCTGAAGACAATTTTTTTAATGTCCTGGAGGAAACAGCAGGGAAGTGTCAGAGTGACTGAGACGTCAAAGAAATAATCCCACAAAAGAAAGGCTGCACTTTGAACCAGAAGCCTCTTCTCATTAACGTCTACCCACCAGCACACACACATTCTCCAAAACCGCTTTCATTCACAAGACAGATTTATTCAGAAAAGCAGCTCAAACGAGGATTAAATAACTATGCAGAGCCAGTCACTGAAATGTTTAAAATAAAACCATCTCTGGGGCAATTCATCCAGATAATAAACGCCTCTGCTTGAGAAACGCCCTGAAGTAGAGCTTCTTTTACTGGGAGCAGCAGGAAGGACTTAGCTGGAGGAAAGCTAATAACCTTGTTTCTACATTCTTCAAACATCAGTCGGCTGCCAGAACACCGCCTGTAGGGTGGAGGCGGGGATGGTTTAAAATGGCCAGGGAGGATGAGCTGCAGCCTGGTGGCAGCATCTAGGATGCTGATGAACCGCTCAACCTGGAGCAAAGCGATACCTTGGCACCACCTGCCTGCCCGGCGGAGGGACTAGCCAGGATGCACGCTCTTGGAGAAGTTATCATTCGCCTCTCATTAAAAAAAGATATATTCCCTATTCCTATCGACCCTGAGTAAACTTCCTCCAAAAAAAGTTAAAATATCAGGTGAGCAAAATTCATCTGGTGTCCTGAAAAAGTCACAGGCTCTTTCTTGTTGGAATAAAGAAAAATCTTAGAACAGCAAACCCCCATCTTCCTTCGTGTGATGCTGTGTGTGTCTTTTCTCCCAAACTAGGATGAACTGCTTCAGGCAATGCCAGCAGCTTGGTCTTTTTCTCTGAGAATGCAACACTCTCTCTAAATTTAATTCAATATGTGTTTGTTGAATGCCCACAAGAGTGAGGCTTTGGATTAGTCCAAAAGGGATAAGCATCTGGGGCGGGGGGCTGGTAGTGAGGGTGGAAATGCCTAGGCTATGCACTGCTGGGAAATGTCCCTATAACCTCTATTAATCAAATCAGGGCATCAAAATAGTGTCTTAATAACTAACTCAATTTAGCGTATATAAATAAAAAATTTATAAAGAAAATGTTTTATAAAGGAAATATGGTCTTCTCTGTTGTGATATACAATTATATACACCTAACTAAAAAGTGAAGAAAAATGAAAGCAGAACTTATGAAACAATTGAATTACCAAATACCTTTCACAATATCAAAATTACTATGTTGTAATTCACTTTATATTATGGAAAACAAAAGAAAAAAATTGCTGCAGCCCTTCTCTTCCATTTGAAATTGGGCAAATATTCAACCCTGTTAAGCCTTCCTTTCAGGACTGTGGCAGGGGCGGACTATGGCAGGAAGATGACAATGAACATGAAATTGCTGTTTAACTTGCAAAGCAAAGTTAAATGAGAGAGGTTGGTGCTTGATGAAGTCTTGTCCTCCAGCAGCTTCCAATCAAGCGAAAATATTCTTAGACAGGATATCCATATAATATATTGTGCAAATTAGATATTTTTAGAGTGACATGAGGTGTTATTAATAATTATGGATTATAGAGGAAAATGAGATGAAAATCAGGACTGGTTTTATCCTATT